GATGCAAAGACACCTGCTTCCGTCCATACTCACTACCCGATCGCAGCAGTATCTTGGCATCCTCCGGGTCGGAAGACTAACAGGGGTGCTTCTCCGCTCCAGTGCGTGGCAAAGCATTTGAAACTAGCGGTTTGCCCCTTTGCCTGGGCCATCGCTTAGTCTAGTTTGCAGGTGGCTGCAGTCAAGGTTCATTTAACTGACACTGCTCTTTTCTAGGAGAAAACGAAGGGGAATTGTTTTCCTTTCTGTGACTGCAGACAAACATTAAAGGGCCATCTCCAGATACAGCCGCCTGTGAAACAGCATGTTCGCAAGGAAGCTTGCAAGCCCTCTGTAAGTGCCCACTGGGTTTTAATTCCCTCAAGAGGGGCCTTCTCCTACCTCTGATGTCTATCCTGTTGGCTAGCCCTCTCTGATTGACCTGGAGGACCTCCGTTGTGATATTGCACTATTGCAGAAAGTGGCTTCAGAATGCCATCTCCATACACCCTGCTGTCCTCAGGTGCACATGTTGCAAAGGGGGGAGACTTTCCTCCATGTGATGGATGTTCAGGAGGGCCCTTAACTTTTGTTTTGGTGGCATTAAGGCCTTGGTAAGCACCCTGGCTTCACTGAACAGTTCCACCTCCCATTACCAGCACTCCCAGAAACATTCAGCTTTCCTCTGCTCCCGTCTTGATGATGATAACTCGTTAGTTTCCAAGAATGGGGATCTGGGGAAGCCACTGATGATGGATGAGAGCGAGCTGATGGACTTCTCTGGGGTTATGTTCCCGGTGCACACTCGTCTCTTCTACTGGCTTTCAGAGGTGCTGCGAACAAGGGAGACGGGCTGTCCCTGCACCCTTGGTTTCAACACTTCCGTGCACATGCACTGAGACCCCAAATTTGGGTTAGGCCCCAACTTTGTTAACAATCCCCTGGGTAGGGCACAACCCCATGGGGGGAACAACAGTCTCCCTGGTTGTCACCAGCATGTAAAGAACTTTCTGTCCCATTGTGCTCTGGCTGCTCCCGAGTTGGCCAAGGGACATGGTGGATTCTCCATCACTTGAAGTCTTTGACTCAGGACGGGAGCCCTTGCTAAAATCAACGCTCGAGCTCAGCCACGAGGTCTGGGCTGGATGCAGGGATCGCTGAGTGAGGTTCTCTGGCCTCCTAGGATGCAGGAGGTCGGACGATATGATCAGAAATGTCCCGTTTGGCCTTAAACTCTATGAAAATTGGCAGACCGGCATTAGCCACCTCACCTCCTAGTCAGAGGAGGGGCCGGACCCTCCCGCCATCTGATTCTTTCTGCAGGCCTCAGAGAGACCGTCCCCTGGTCTGAGCAGGCTGGCACCCGGGGCGAGCCGGCCCCTCCCAAACTGGCCAGAGCCGAACAGGAAGCAGCACTCTGCTCTGAGCGTAACGTGTTCGGTGTTCAGAGGCATCGCCCTTCCCACAAGAGGGATGGTGCATGCTGGGAGTCCCAGAGACGCCCAACAGTACAGGAGCAGAGGCTCCTTCAGGTCTGGGTGACCCCACAGTCCCTTTCACTCCCCTCCCAGCCTTATAAGCCTCCCAAGGCATAAGAACCAGGGGTCACCAAATGAAATGAACAGGCAGCAGGTTTAAAACAACCCAGAGGCAGCATTTCTTCACCCCACGCACAGTCAACCTGTGGAACTCCTCACCAGAGGAGGCTGTGAAGACCAGGACTTGAACAGGGTTTAAAAAAGAACTAGCTAAATCCATGGAGGTTAGGTCCGTCAATGGCTACGAACCAGGATGGGTTGGTGTCCCTAGCCTCTGTCAGAGGCTGAAAACGGGAGCCAGGGAAGGGATCTCTTGATGGTTCCCTCCCTCTGGGCACCTGGCATTGGCCACTTTCGGCAGACAGGACACTGGGCTGGACGGACCTTTGGTCTGGCCGTTCCTATGAGGCCTGGCCCTCATCCTAGTGGTCATCCCCATGTGGCAGACTGGGAAATGGAGACACTGGAACATCACATGACTTGCCCAACTTTGCATGCTCAGAGTGAAATTCTGGCTCCACCAAAAACAATGGCAAAACCCCGGCAGGGCCAGAACTGCCAGCCAGGCACATCCCAGCTGGGTGCAGAACCCAGCTCTCCTACCTCCCACGCAAGCACTGCACCCACTATGCCACACTGCCTCCTCCAATCACCCAGAGCAGCCACAGCCCCGGCCTTCCAGCAGGCCATGCACACGCTCCCCAGTGTCCCTTGGCATGGTCCTGCCCCCGCCCCAGCTCCCAGCCAGTGGATGATCAGGAAGTGCTGTGCAGTTCCTCGCCTTCACAGCCGCCCCAGAAAACTCTGCCTGTCCCCATAATAAACACGTCGTGAGCCATCCATCTTTAATGGCTTATGCAAATCGGGGGGAGGGGCGTCAAATCAATGAGGATCAATAACTGCAGCCGCTTAATTGCCAGCAAAACCATTTTAAGAATGAGCATTCTCTGTAGCCCTTTCTCGGGTAATGGCGCCATTAATCCAAACGCTGGATCCCGGCCTAAGTGCAGAGGAATAATCCTCCGCCTCATGTTCCCCGCCTCTCCCCGCGCCTCTCGGGTTGGGTGTTTTCCTCTTCTCATGCCAGTGTCTGCGTTTCCCTGTCATTACCGCCGGCAAACGGCTCCCCACGTTAATGGTTCTGCTTTTGTTCCGCGGCGCCTGATTGAAATGTCGCACCCAGATTGAGACGTTAGTGCTAAGCGGCCACCTGGGAACGTCACGCTGGGCCTGAAATGAACTTTCCCTGGCGCTCGGATCCAGATGGATCAGCCGGGAATGTTCCCAAGCTGAGCCGGGAGTCTTCCATGATGTGGGGGGAGAGGGGGAACCCAGAGCAGTTTCTGCAGCCGCTCAGCGCCTCTTTTGCGGCGCTTCTCCTCCAAGCCCTTCCCGAGGGGCAGATCCCACCCTGCACAGAGCCCCCGGGGGTTGGGCCCGAGGCCCGCGCCCCATGTTGTCTGGCCTGGTCAGATTAAGGCACCTCATGGTCCCTTCTGGCCTGCTCAGCCGTGACTCTTTGCTCCTCTCCCTCAGCACACGCCTGGGGGGGATGGAAGGAGAGGGGGTGCTGTCTCGGTGTCAGAGAAGGGGGGCCTATCCTGGCGCTGCGAGATGGGCTCCTTCAGACCCAGGGCTCTTCTCCAGGAGAGGCCCCCCCGCCAGCTGGAGGGGTGTCCAGCCCGCCTGCCGGGCTGTTCCCAGAGGCGCATCCCCAGCCGTTTCTGAGGAGGCGGGAGGGGAGGCACAGTTCTGCCGGCGGAGTAGCTCTGTGCTCGGCCGGGTCAGCCGTGTATGCACCCAGCCAGGTCGGGCACTGACGGTAGCCAAAGCAACACCTGTGCTCCAGGGTCCCTCAGCCCCCGCCCCGGCCTTGCCCTGACACCCACTAACCCCTTGCAGGGTTACCCTAAGTAGCCTGGCTGTCTGCGGGGGGACACTCAGCTACGCTGCTGGGTCCTGCCTGGCAGTCAGTCTCCGTCCTAACATGGTGTCCTGAAACCCCCCGTGCTCAGTGGCAGCTCCGGGGCAAGCGGACGACACTGGCTGCCTAGCACCGTACCCAGCCCGGCCACCAGTCACGCTGCCCGGCAGCCTGCACGGCCCAGGTTCCCCCAGAACTGTCCCCTGACGGGCCACAGAGCACTCCCCCTTCCAGGGGCCTGCTCCCCAAGCAGAGCACCCCCACAAATGTAACCTGGAGATCGGGGGGCAGGCGCCGCCCCCTGCTGGCTAGGAAGCAGGGCCCTGTGCTCACAGAGGGACTGTGTCCCCCGGCCGAATGGCACCTCTCCTCTGAGGGAGCAGCACGGTGCCTGGGCCCGGCTGACATCCCAGCCAGCTGCCCCTCGTGAGGAAGGCGTCTCAGCTCCGCCTTGTTTCCCTCGTCATTCCCACCACGGGGCCTGAGGTCACTGCATCTCCTTGGGCCTCCCCTCTTCCTCACTCAGGCCCAGGGCGCCCCGGCACCTCCTGCCCGTCTTAGTCCTCCTGCCTCCTCGGGAGCTGCTCCTTTCCCTGAGAGCCTCGAACGCTTTGCCCCCAGAGTCCCCCCCAGCTCCGAGCCTGCCCCCGGCGCCTGGCACAGCCGGCGCCAGCTCCCTCTCCTGCTCTGCAGCCAGGAGCCCGCTGCTGCTGTGGCCGATAGGACCAGTCGCGGACTCCGGGGGCGGAGCGCTACGGGCCAGAGACCTGCCCCTCAAGTAACACCGGGAGCGGCTCCGCTATAAATGGCCCATCGTGCCTTGAGAACAGTCAGCGATGGGGGTCCCACAGGCCCCTGGGTCAGGGGTTCCCGCGCTGCCCCGCATGAGGCCGTACGGCGCCTGCCTCACTCTCCCTGCTTCTTCCTGCCGCTGGAGGGTGGTAGACTCTCTCCGCCAGCCTGAGGAGCCCAGATACTTACAGGCTCAGCGAGCCCCTCGGCTGCCCCTCTTCTGACCCTGCGACAGCTCTAGGCAGCCCTGGCACCAGCAACCCAGAGCAGCCCCCGGCAGGTGGGTACAGCAAGGACGGAGCTTGCTGGCTCAGAAATTGTCCGTGGCTCCTGCGTGCTCTGGCATCCCAGAGACCCCTGATTTTGATGGAGCGGGGACGCTGGGCCGGAGGGGATCGTCTGAGAGGAGAGTCCTGGCTTGCAAGGGTCCCTTCCAAATGCAGGGGCCAGACACAGCCCTGCACCCTGGGAAGTTCAGCAGCGAGCAATGAGCCTGTTACTCCAAACATGGAGAAACCTGGGACACGGCAAAACAGGTTTTCTTCTGGGCCTGCCTTTCCAAGCCCAATGCAGA